CAACACGAAGCTGCTGAAACAACTTTCCAACAAGGGAAGAAGAGGGGAAAAGTCACAACATCTGACACACCTTCCGATTACCGTCCTAGTGCCTTTTCTGACTGGGAAGGAGGATACCAGAGCTCACGTTCAGCCGGCCTCGACAGCATTATGCACCCCGCAGTGGCAGGCAGCAGCCTCAGGCTCAAGCATGCCAGGAACCATACAAACTCTGTAATTCCTGTCCCCGAATGCTTCCAGCCTGAAAGGATAGCACACAAACCATGAGAAACTGAGGCACGGGCAGGAGAAGCGGCTTGCCCAGAGTCATGCAGCAGGTTCCAGGAAAGCATGGAAACAATTATCTCCCATTATTTTCAAAGAATGGGCTAACCACACAACCTTCTTTGATATTTTCCTCATTTCCTGTGCAGTCAACCCTGCATTATCAGGTGGTTTGAATGGCAGCACCACGAGCTTAATTTTTAATGCAAAAAAGCCTGTTTAATATAAATTCCAAGAGGGAGTATTTTTACAGGCTCAAGACTATTGGTCTTTCTTGGAGATCTTTCTTGTACAACTGCAAATCCCAGTAAATCAGTATTGTCATCTCACACTGCGGGAGCCACGAGGGAAGTGCCAAGATCAGCTCGGTGGAGTCAGCGCTGCCGTTCTGCCTTTCATGCAGTATTTCAACATCCAAGCTTTGCATAAAGAGAACTCTTTGCACTTTGGTTATTTCTCTCATGGGGTTAGGCCAAGTGCTTGTTTTTTCTTTCGCACCGTGCATTCAGACAGTAAAACGTTCACCACACCTGGAACCGAGCTGCTGCTTCTCTGCACAAATAGGTGCCCAGGTTCCTTCATTTCTCTACTCACCCAACAAATGTCAAAAACTTTGCTACGGTCCACGCAACTGTGTTAGACAAGCCCCAGCTGAAAGAAAGATTCACAAATAAAAATCCATCTGGGGTAAATGACCTGAGATCTTCCCAGTTCCTCCAGAGCATTCTGCTGTAGCAGGGACAGATCAAAACGACTGCACAGCCCCATCCCTTCCGCCTGCAAATCTGTTTTTAAATGTCATCTCCAGCATTTTAAAGCAGGGAAAAACTTGTTTCACCCACAGAATGTCAACACAAGTCAAGATTAGTTATAGATGTGTCCTTTGTTTCCCCTTTCCCACACCCGTATCCAGAGGCTAACAAACTGGGAGCAGCAAGTTTGGATTGAAGGTATGATCTGTATCAGCTGAGGACTGCAATACCATGAATGGGCTCCAATTACTGTGCCAGAAACTCGTTCTACATTAAACAAAGCCACCTGCAATGCTTTGCCTCCAAACCTGAGCCACGTATTGTATTCAGCTGTGTTTTGCACAAAGACTGGTTTAATTCCATAGGACAGAGGCAGGATTCTGCCTGGCTAGTGCAACAGCAGGACATCTTCGAGGTTCTCCCACCCCTCAACCAGTCCCTACATGACTGACTTTGCCCCATTGCAGCTCCCTACCCGTGCTTAACCCTTTAATTCTATCAGCCCGCTACCCACAGCAAAACCCTAAAGGCAAAGGCAGAATTACTTAATATTGATGAATCCCAAAATGTGGAATCGCAAAGCTTGTCGGAGCAGCTGTTTGCACAGGGTAGCAGCACAGTTTTCCCATGACAGCACTCGGCATCCCTGCTTGAGGGCTTTTGTTTCTCTTTTGGAGAGTTAATACCAACCGAGATGCTACTTCTCCTGAGTTACCCCTTCTCTAAGACAGACTTCACTTCCAAGTTGGGTACAGGGCACAAACATTGTGAACCTGTGCATCCCTCACTCATTTGCTTAAGCAACCCCTGAAAAACTACAGGTGTTAAACAGCATAAAATAAAACGAGAGCAGACACCACAAACATCTGAACCACTATTTCAGTAACAAAAGCCTTTATACCCATCCCTTGGGACACAAAACCCATCAGATACCAACTGCTAAAGCAAACACTGTAAGGCCTGAAGCACTCAAAATATCCAGCTACTGAGACGGGGAGGAGACCCCCACACTCATTACGCGATGCCTGCAGCAAAGGAAACCAGCAGAGAAAGATGTTGTTAACAGCTCTGCTGTATCACTACCACGTAGGCAGCAATCCCACAGCGCTTTCAAGTGGTAAACAGACATTTTTATTCCTAAAGAAACATTTTCATTTTTCTAAACATACACGCTGACAGTACTACCCATGAACAGTGTCCCACTCGTCTGTCTCTATAATGTACACCAGGCACGGGTTTAATTCAGACACCAGATAAAGATATTTGGCAGTCTGCTCGCTTGGGTCTCTCTAGCAGGATCCACACAGCAAAAACAACTGGACATCTCAAAACCAGGCAAGTTCGGCAGGCAAGCAACAAAATCCCATCCAGATGAGTCAGCTCAGCCAACAGCAACTTCCTGAAAAGCTAAAAGGCACCACTGGGGTTGTGGGGGGGGGTGTGGGAAAACTGGTGAGTTTACCTGAACTCTGGTGAAGAGAGAGGCTATCGGTAAAGCTTTGGTTTCACAGAGGGTTAATGTGAAATACATGAAGCATGAGACACAGCTCTTGCCAAAGCCGCTCACGGAACCCCAAAATCACCCACACAGGTTTACAGGTGAAGCCTTGCATCTCTGCCCCTCGCTGCTGCTCTCCTCCTGTGCCACACTGTCACCAACAGCCACAGGTGTCAGTGGGAGGCAGACCGGCAGTTACCCCTTCTCCTCCCGAGAAATCTATTCAGGAAAGCAGCTGGTAGGTAACTCCCAGTGCAGCTATTCGTCCCACCTCACCCCCTACACACTTAACAGGGAGTGCACCGAAGGGCTCTGCTCACCCACCATAGTCCACCTTCTCCCTCTCTGTGCATGAGCCAGTTTAGATGACTAAGACGACTTACTCTCTCATGTTCACATCATGCTATGTTCACCAGTGGGTCCGCAAATTGAAATTCAAGCTGCAATTTAAATAACCTTGTTTTTTTCTAGTGTTATACTGAAAAAGAGAGGCATAAAGACTTCTCGGTATTTTGCTTGAGAAAAGCAGGTTTCAGACCTGTGCTGCTTGATGAGGACTGGGGTGACGCCCGGGCAGCAGATTCCCAGGCGCGAAGGCGTGGGTCTCAGCGAGGCTGAGGTCTCGAAGCAAGCATGGAAACTCTCCGACCAGCACGTGCTTCCCTGCGGGCTTTGGAGGAAACAACCGAGGCCACAAACAGCACAAGCACTGCCGTTAGCTGATTTAAACTACCCCAGAGAACGCGTAGCCTTGCCAGTGTTCCAGCACCTGCAGAGCTCCAACTACCCCAGCAGCCGCCTCTGAGCCACCTAACCCGGCATAAACGGATGCAACAGCCATGGGTCTGGCCTGCACCTGAAGAGGATCACACAGCAACACATCACCCACTTCACCACCAAAAGCCACATCACTGTAGAGATAAGGAATTTAAAAAAAACAAACCATTGACCCCAAAGACACACATCAGATTCATCACTACAAGTCCTGACATCTTGGATTTCTAAACAGCAAGTCAACTCCTTGTGAAATGTTCTCAGACCTCCTTCCTGGCATCCCCCAGCTCTGGCTCTTCCTTTTAACAGAAGCCCTTTGAGAGGCTCAGCAGCTGCTCCTCATCTCAATGGGATCCTCTATTATCAGAGCAGCTGCAGGATCAGAGCCTGGATCACCTCTTCTTCCAAAACTCCACGCCAGAAGCCCAGCCATCCCCAGCAGCCAGCCGCCACGCAGCTCGAGAGCAATTCAGAAAGTCAGCAGAGCCAAAGGAGGAAAGCTGCGATAAAGCAACCGATTTCCACGCTGAGCTCCCAAAAGATAGGAGCAAAGTGTTAGATTATGAATCACCAGGATACCAGTTTTCGGTTAAATCCCGCCAGTTTACTGCTGTAGCTCCCACACATGCAGGGAGCAAACTGAAGATTACGAAGAGCGATGAGGCAGACAGCAATGTAAAGTTCAATGCTTCCAAAACTGTAGATGAAATTACTATGATCAAGAGGAAAAATTCAAGCTCCCGCAGCCTGAACAGCGAGGCACAGAGCCAGGAAGAAATGAAGACCAGCAATTCCGCTTCATGTCAGTGGAGCTCCAGCCGTTCTGCCCTCAGAAAGCTGCATGGTGTTCCCAGGCTTCGGAGCAGGCGCAGCACAGAGCTCCAACACAGCCAAGAGATCACAGGCAGCCTGGCCCTTCTTTCTCTGAGCTTCGCTTTATTTTTGTAGTAACAGCTACTGAGTAATTGCCCTATTAACAGCAACTTCACCTTGATCTCAGCATACCGCTGAGAGGGAAGCAGAGACTAACACTCGAAAGAATTTATTTCATTAACTCATTTCAAGTGTAAGCAAAAAGGTTTTTAATAGCTTCTCTGGTCAATACCAGCCCTGGCAGGATGGGCCGCAGCACTGTCCCCCACAAAGCTGATCGCGTAGCCGCTGCGTTAAACATGAGAGCGGCACACGGAACAGACCCCACTGAGATCAGCCAGCCCCACAAATACTTCTCTCTGTTCCAGAAGCCTGTCCAGTCTTCCATTTAACCCGAAAACCGTCCCATTGCTATTTTAATACTTCTTGAGATAACAGGCAGCCAAGTGAGAACCCAGCATCCAAACGCGGTCCCACCAGCGGCCAAAAGTAACGCGCACACCAAGCAAAGCCAAAGATTATCATCACTGAGATCAGCCAGCCCCACAAATACTTCTCTCTGTTCCAGAAGCCTGTCCAGTCTTCCATTTAACCCGAAAACCGTCCCATTGCTATTTTAATACTTCTTGAGATAACAGGCAGCCAAGTGAGAACCCAGCATCCAAACGCGGTCCCACCAGCGGCCAAAAGTAACGCGCACACCAAGCAAAGCCAAAGATTATCATCAGGTCACCAGAAAGTTATATTGAAATACGCGCTCCTGAAGTGGCCACAAAAATCTCAGCAATGCAGTTAGGGACAAACTGTCAGTGGCGCAAATCAAGTTATCAACGCTTTACCGAGCCAGATCGGCCGCACGCAGCGCGGGGCTCGGGGGGTGGGCGGCTGGCTGGGGTTTTTGGGAAACCACCTCCGAGCAGGCAGCTCCTTCCCGAGGGAGCCCGCAGGCAGCAGCGACGCCTGGCCGGGGACCACAGCCCGAGGGGGCATCTCAGCGGGCTCCCGCAGCGCG